CTCGCTGCTCTCTCGCAGAAAGTGATCAAGCTTGAGGTCTCCGAGAGAAATGCCGTCCGCCGAGCGGAGTTGGCGCTGGAGAGGATGCAGAGTATGGAGAAGGACAACCTGAGGATCCAGGAGAGGATCGCGGCTCTAGAGGACGAGTCCATCGAGCACGTCTCTCGCATCCACGAGCTGGAGGAGACTGAGAACGAGCTGAGGCAGAGGATGGAGGGAAGCATCTCCGCCGAGCAGGCCAAGGAGTGGAAAACTAAAATGCAGGCGCAGGAGGGAGAAATCTCGGAGCTCAACATCAAAGTCAGCCAGCTGCAAGAGATCGCGGACCTCGCGACTGATCAGGCGAAGGCAATGGAGGAGCTGCACATGGCGCATGCGGAGGAGCTTGACGCCCTCCGTCAGTGCCTCTCCCGGCTCCACTCCGAGTCCGATGAGAGCGCAGAGACTGGAGCTCTGCAGCGGCAGGTGATGGACCGCGAGCGGCAGATCCACGAGATGAAGTCGAAGCTCTCCAACCTGGACAAGGAACTTGCTCGCATGGACGATTACGCGATCCGCCTGGAGGAGATGCTGGAGAAGAAGAGCAGTCAAGTCTTCTCGATCTCCGACGAGTCGCACAACACCATTCGAGCCCTTGAGCGCCAAGTGGAGGAGCAGAGGGCACGACTTGCCGGCTCCATCTCCCTCGACCAGGCGGACGAGTGGGCGCAGAGTCTGCGAGACCTGACGGACCAGAAGCAGAAGGCTCTAGAAGATCTGACGGACGCGAAGAAGAAGATCGAGGATGCTGAGCACAAGGCGGCCTCGCTCAAGGTGCAGCTGGACGATCAGAAGGCGTTTGCTAAGCAGCTGATGGAGCAGCTGCGGGAAGCTGGCGGTGCTTCCGGTAGCTCCAACATGCAGCCTGTGCTCCAACGCCTGTCCCAACAGACAGACGAGCTGACAAGCTACAAGCTCGAGAGTCTTCGGCTTTCACGGCAAGTCCGTCAGATGCAAGAGCGTGAGAATCATCTGGAACACTTGTGCCAGCAAAATGAGAAGGAAGTGAGAAAGCTTGAGGAGCAGGTGATAATCCTGCAGGCGGAGAAGGATGGAGCTGAAGCCAAGAGAGCGACTGAAATGGAGGCGTTGAAGAGCAAGATCAAGGAGCTGGAGCTCGCAGCGAGAGAAGACATGATGCCTGGGAAGGGCTCGATGATGTCTCATGCGATGGAGGGCAGGGCAACGCTACGTAGAGTCCCCTCCTCTCACTCCTCCAAGAGTAAGGTCGAGGTGCCGCCGGAACTTTCAGCAGCTGAGGCGCGAGCGATGGACCATGAAGCCATCATAGCGATGAGAAACGAGCTGATCGCCCTAACGGAGAAGCTCAAGGACAAGGAGGACGAGATCGAAAGGCTCAACAAGGATCTTGAGGATGTTTCCTATCGAGGAGAGAGCGAGGTAAAGTCGAAGTTTGACATGGGCGACAGTCAGGCAGGTCTCACAGAAGCCGCTCAACACACGCAGGAGGTGGCGAGGCTGACGATTGAGAGGCTCGAGAAGAACAACAAGAGGAAGAACGAGATGATCACCAAGTACCAGGAGCAGCTCCGACAAGCGAGAGAAGAGTACATGAGCCAGAAGGAGCTGGACAACGCGACGATCGAGGAGCTGAGGGAGAAGTTGGCTGCAAAGACACAGGAAGCGCTTTCTAACCTGCGGTCTCGCACGGCCGGGCATGGAAACATCAACATTCTCCACAGCACAGCCTCTGCTGATGCTGATGCCATCTTTGCTGAGAAGGATCAGGTCATCTCTGCCCTCAACGGCGAACTGCAGAGTCTCAACAGGAGGAACGAAGAGCTTTCACGCACGAAGGAGAGGCTGGAAGAGAACCTCAAGATGAAGGAAGAGGAGATAAAGATCAAAGATGAAGAAATCAAGAAGTCGGAGGGCCGTAAGCCAAGTCAGGTGAGTCTCTTCTGCATATACCTCCGCTTGCGCTGACCTTGCATGGCAGGTGCTGGAAACTTTGGTCCTGAAGCTCAAGAATCAGCTGGCAGAGAAGGACAAGAAGCAGCAGGTAATCTCATCGTCTCTTCCCCTCCCCCTGCTCATCTTCCTCTCGACAGGAAATGAAATCTGCCATCGCATCGCTCAAACAGGAAATGCTCGATGCTGCCGAGGTGAAGGCGAAGGCTGAGGTGGAAGGGATGCGAGGTCCCGCAGGGGATGGAACGGATGCTGCCCTGGTCGCGCAGTCGGCGAAGCTCAAAGAGCAAGTTGACGCGCTGGAGTCAAAGTTGACGTCCCTCAGGTCAAGGTTCAGCGATGTGAAGAAACAGCTGGAGGAGGAGCAGACGAAGAGCTCCAATCTCGTCAAGGAGAAAGAGTCTCTAGAGTCGACCATCCGCCGTCAAGCTACAGACCTCAAGAAGGCGCAGAGGCTGCAGAGAGAAGCCCAGGAGGCTGTCAAGAGGCTCGAGAATTCTACCCAGCAAGACACGAGCAAGATCCTAGAGCTGGAAAAGAAGATCCGAGAAGCGACTTCTTCCCGGGCCGAGAGGCCGAGCACAGTGCCTGAGCCGGCACGAGGAGGAGCGGAGGGGGAGAGAGAGAACGCGATGCGAAAGTGGGAGTCCGAGAAACGACTGGAAGCGAAAGTTGAGAAGCTGCAAAATTCTTTGCAAAATGCTCGCAAGCAGAACGAGACGCTGGAGAAGCAGCATGCAGGTGCTCCAGCTTCTCTTCCTGCCTTCATCCTCTGACTTGGTGGCAGTTGACAAAGAGAGGATGGAGAAAGAAGCCGAGAGACTTCGGCAGAGAGCTGAGATCCTTGAAGAGGACAAGAAGCAGCTCCGAGCTCAATTACGTGGTGCCGGACAGCCCGCAGACTCCGACGAAGTCCTGGCGAGGGTGAGAGAGGCAGAGAGGAAAGTGATGGAGGTCGAGGAGCGAAACGATCAATTGCTGAAAGAGCTCAACGTTGAAGGGTAAGACATGATGCTCAGCGTGGGAAGGGAGTAACAGGAGCGTTGCAGGAAGATCAAGGTGGAACAGCAAAGGCAGACGGTGAACATGCTAGAGAAGCAAATCAAGGAGCTGCAGGAGACAAACCAATCGCAAGCACAGCAGCTGCGAGCGATCGATGATGAGAATTCCTACATGCGAGAGAAGTCACGAGAGGTCTTTAAACGCACTCAGTCTCTTGCTCCTCCTCTGCCCTCCCCTTCAGTCTCGAACCCCCTTTCCGAAACCTCCCTCTTCTTCCTGCCCCTTCCTCCATGTACTCGCGCTGAGGGCAAATGCAGATGAAGCGCCTCGAGACATCGATCGCAGAGCTGAGGACGAGGAACGAGAACTTGGAGAACGAGCTTCTCGGGGCTCAGAACGAGCTTGTCCGACTTCGCTTCGAGACTGAGCACTCTGACCTCCGACTCGAGCGATGGAAACGACGCGTTCGGGAGCTGGAGGCGCTTCCTCTTGCTGTGGGGAAGGCGGAGGGTCTTGACTCCAAGGTGAGGTCCGTTGTTCTTGCCCGCTCCCCTCACTTGCAGCAGCCCGGGAAGAAGAAGACGAAGGAGGAGGAGGAGATGGAGCGATTCGTGCGGTCGACGAAGATTGCGATGGAGAAGCTTCATCGGTGAGGAGTTTCATTCTCGATGTGAGGCTGACTTCCTGCTCCCAGTGAGAACGAGAGCTTGAAAGCAAATAGTGCAACCAACGTCAAGTACATGGACAGCGTGAGGTGAGCATTCCATTTGTTTTCCCTTCACACCCCTGACTCTGTTTTCACAGAGAGGCGAAGAGTCTGAAGCTTGTACACGTCGCCGGGTCATGTTGGTGCACTGAGCTGCTTTCAGGCTTTGGCAGAGAGGGATAAAGAGATTTCATCGCTCAACGAAAGACTTTTGAATATGAAGGACCAGGTCGTCGACTCTCCTTCGACTTCCCCTGCCCTGCCCTGCCCTCTTGTCTCCCCTCTCCTCCTCATGCCTGCAAACCCTCTTTCACCCCCTCCTCCTTCCTCCTTACTAGCGCTTTCTCGTCCTACTGTGTCCTCATGGACCTGCAGGTGGAGAAGAAGGCAAAACTTGACGAGAAGGTTCGGAGCTTAGAGCGACAGCTCAAAGGTCAGGCAGCCGCCTGCTCAGAGGAGGAGAGCTGACTGTATTCCAGCGGAACAAGAGACCTCCAAAGACCTTCAGGACAGGTGAGGAGTTGAGGAAGGGAAAGGGGAGTGGAAAGTCGGGATCTGTGGGAGGAGGGGAGAGGAGAGGAAGGGAAGGAGGGGAGTGGAGAGGAAGGACGGGAGATGGACCAGGAGGGAGTGATGAGAGTCGGAGGTAGTATGGATGAGGGGCAGGGGGGGACGAGAAGAAAGTGAATCAAGGCTCTTGACTTGCTGTCAGATTGACAGAGAAGAGCCGGCGAGTCAACCGTCTTGAGTCCGACTTGGCCTCAGCTCGGGAGTCAGCTGGGGGAGACGGGGCCTTGTCTGACAGGGTGCGGGAGGCAATCGAGGAGGCAGAGGCGTTGAGGAGCAAGCTGAGAGCAGCGGAACGAGAGAAAGTCGCCCTGGAGAAGGAGAGGGACGAGAGCAGACGCGACTTGCGGCTAGCAGAGAAGCGTGCGGAGGAATGCATGCAGCGGCTGGAGGAGGAGATGCGCAGGCTGCCCAAGACAGCTGGGCAGATGTCGAGCCATGGCGACCTTGAGGAGATGAAGAAGCTGCGGGACAAGATCAGAGACCTGGAGACAGAGAACGAAGATCTCAAGGGAGAGCTGAACTGCTTCGATCCGGTGCGCGAGGTGAAGGCAGGGGGGGGTGGAGAGTAACATTTCGTTACAGGCATTCTTCGATGAAATCGAAGACCTCAAGTACAACCATAACGAGATGACGAAGCTGGTGGATCGATACGAAGCTCTTCTCATGCAACTCTCAAGCAGATACGGTTTCGAGTTCACTCCACAGGTACGCTCCCTCCTCCTTGCTCCCCTGACTCGTCACTCTCCCTTCCAGACCACCGCAAAGCGAGGAAGCAGAGCTTAGATCTTTCCGCGGAGAAGGTTCTCTGTGAACAATGTCAGGATGCAAATCAAGTTTAAGTATGATGAAAAACACTAATGGAGTAAGACACTGTAACATGTAACATGCGATATGATTGAAATGTCTGGATGCACATCGTGACTCACTTATCATCTGAGTCCCTGAAACCTCCACAGTCTCCCACAGGGTCCACAAGTCAAGAGTGCCTGCCAGCCATCAGCTCCTCTCCTCTCCCTCTCCCTCTCCCTCACTCGAGAAAGTGTCAAAGATGCCGAACGGCATCATGCTCAAGATGTTGCCCCGGGCGTACTCCAGCGCCCAGCACGCTTCCTGCTGTACAGCTCAGTCTCGTGGTCGAGGAAGAGGAATCGAGAGCACAGGCATGCGGTAGCCCTTGGCAACTCCAAAGGGCAGGTGGTGCTGGTCACCAGGCTTGTAGACTTCGCGCTCGATAGCTCCTGCCTTGTACGCCCACTGCACACGATCACGTGAGAGGAGGGGAGGGGAGGAGAGGAGAGGAGAGGAGAGGAGAGGAGAGGAGAGGAGAGGAGAGGAGAGGAGAGGAGAGGAGAGGAGAGGAGAGGAGAGGAGAGGAGAGGGGAGGGGAGGGGAGGGGAGGGGAGGAGAGGAGAGGAGGAGAAACATAGGAGTATGTTTAGACAAAAAGAAAGTCCACGAAATCAACCTGCTCGCCGTACAGGATGGTAAACCAGTCATCCGCTAAGAACCTCCCTGAACAAAGTTTGTCATATGAAGGACAGCATGGCAGCAACGGAACAGCAACGGACCCGTGTGCCCCTCAGTGCCGATGGCCGATCCGAAGATGATGACGTACTCGGAGAAGGAGGCGTGCAAGACTGTCATGGAGCCCATGGCTCCTCCTGCATTGTTGAACAGCCATTTGTCGCCTTTCTCGATGTAGTCCTGGAGAGAGGATCAGAAGCGTTGCCGCACCACATGGGGAGCCAACCGGATACTCTTTTCGCATCAGGTCGATGACGTTGTTGATGATGCGAGTTGCATTCTTAGACTCTTTGGCCAGTGCTTTCCTTGCAATCTAAAACTCACAGTCATCCTCATAGTGGAAATACTCTCGACAAGTCACCTCAGCCAGTTTCTTCTCATCGAACACAGTTTTCGGGGTCTGGCAAGACTTTGTCAACGAAGCTCTTTACACAAGTTGCAGCAAGTCACATGACGCAGGCGCAGAGGTTCATGCACAGGATTAGAAAGAGACCCCAATACATGCTGGAGGGGATACGAAGGAAGACAAGCAATTGAACTTCAAAAAAGGAGGGCAATCGAAGCTATCCAGGCAAGGGAGAAGGAGATACTGATTACAATGAACGAAAAGATGTTCGTTGAATGGGGAGGGGGTAGCGAAAGTTGAGGGGAAAGGAGGGGGCAGGGAGTAGGGAGTAGGGAGGAGGGAGGGGGGAGGGGGGAGGAGGAAGGAGGAAGGAGGGAGTAGGGAGGAGGGAGCAGACAGGAGAGAGCAGGAGATACCAGGAAGGGGACGGCGATCGCGAGGACGAGGACTATGGTTGACACGAGCAGGATACGTGCCATTCTTATTCCACCGTGACACCTTTTACACAGCTGGCAAAAAAACAAAAAAATCTCGGCGGTCCGGGCCCACCGCCGCAATGATGATCCGATCTGACCGTACCTGCAGTGACGGTGCCGCCCGGCCGCGGCCCCCCCCCCCCCCGGGCCCGCCGGCCCGCGGCCCGGCCGGTACAGTGACGGACTCGGACCGACCGTTCTCCAGGCTCCGAGGCTCACAGTGTCAGTCATAGTTAACTTTGAGTAAAAAGTCACAGCCTGGCTGGCCCAGTGGCTGATGACTCACTCCGGTGATCGGGCGAGCGCGGCACTGAGACCGTGGGTCGTGAGTCACTGACTCAGTCAGCCGGCCCCGGGGCCCCGGCTGTGCGGCCGCTGCTCCGCCTCAGTTGCAGTGGCCACGGCCCAGTGACTCCGAGTCCGATCGGTTTTGAAACTGAAACTGTAACTGAAAAACTCACCGCCATCACCGTGACTGTGGCGGCGGCCGGCAATTCAAAAATCTTTCAAGCTTTGACTAGCCGTTGCCACCCACAAAAACAGCCTGGCAGCTTCAACACATAGAGAGAGAGCTGTCAGAGTCAGTAGAGCAGTAGTAGCAGAGATGGTTGACAACACTGTATGGTATCATAGGTAGTGATATTGATGAGCCATGAAGTTGAGCCTTGTAGACGAATAACAAGATTCCAGGTTCTTTTAACGATGCAATGATGAGCCTTCATGAGGTGCCCCCGGTCCTCATCATGTGGAATGACATAGTGTATATTATTGAAACTGCATATGGAAACAACATTCTGAGATGATCCAAAAGTTTGCTGAAACATTCTTGACTCACCAGGATCGCTATCAAGGAATGCCAAAGAATCAAGGTCGAGCATGAAAGCGAGTCGAGCACTTACTCTGCTGTGCTGTTTGGCTTTCCCTCTTGCTCAAGCTGGCAGGTGGTCAAAGGATGGCAAGTGGATCCCAGCGAGCGAGTATGAGCACTGGCACGAGGGACCGTTGGGACAAGTTGCAAGGGATCCGACAGGACATGCTCTTCAGATTTTTAGAGAAATTTTCGCGATCTTCAGCTCCCCACACAAGAATCGACATCCCATGGCTCCACCCTGGTGGATGTTTCTCCTCATCTACACTTGCCTCGTCATCCTCGTTCTCGCATTTCTCTTGAGGAGGATGCTTGCCCAGGTTGAGCACAGATACGTGCGACAGATCAGGGCTCGTCAACACAGACCGCAGCGACAGCGACGTTAAAAAAAGTGAGAGAAGCGTCAGCAGGTATCGGATGTACTGATTATAGTACAATCATGGGCAGATCCTGGATTTCAAAATAGTCTTGTAATATTGTACATGCGCAGCTAAACACTCAACACATGGTGTCGCATATGCTGAGTGGTGTGTCGTTTTCTTGCCTGGCCTCGTTGATCTGAATTGCGCTTGTTAAATTCAAACATCGACCTCCACTGAATTCATGGACTCTCACATTCATATCGGTCTGCAATGTAGTTGTATGATGTTCTGAGCTCTGCGTATTTTTCTTGTTTGCACTCTCCAAAGCTGTGGAATCCCTCTTGTCACGTTTTTCCGAACAGAAACTCCGCGTAATTTGTAACAAACAATTTTCTTACCGAGAATTTGCGTCTCAAGAAGCTTTCTTTCTTGAACAACCTTTGTCGGAGTTTAGGAGGAAGAAGGATGATATGAGGATGATGGGAAGGATGGGTAGAAGGGTTTGGAGGGGGGATTAGGGGGAGAAATTAGGAGGATGAACGAAGGGCAATAACCTTCTGCACTGCCGCTGTCAACTGCTTCGCGTGAAGATTCAACTTCTCGTAATCCTTTTCAAGCTGACAGTCGAAGTTTCAGCTGCAAACCACGCCCGGAAGCGTCTTACCTTCTCATTGTTCTGCATGGCTACGTGGATCTGACTCTTTATGTTCTGCTCTCTTGCTTCGATGATCGCTGTTCTTGACCTCTTCATCTAAATGTGCAACTCAACCTCGCATTCATTCTACGTAACATTCTTACGTTTTCGATTTCTTCTTGCTTCGCCGTAAGGGCATGTACAAGGTTCTAACATGGTGTATGAGTTTACAGCGCTGCCATCATCTCACCCAAACCTTCTTGTCGAGGCGAAGCTGGAGGATCTCTTCTTTCATGTCAGTTGTACTCATTCTATCCAACTCGTCCATGGCGCCCCCGGAACTGCCAGACTTATTTCAGTGATCATAAGAGCAAGACATGATATCGTGTTTCAGTAAATTCACATGAATCCTTCTGTCCTTGCACAGCCCTTTCTTACCATTCAACTGAATTTAGCATACTGAGCTGAGTGATCTGCTGATTCCAACCACCATCTCTCCCTCTTCCTTCCCCTCGTCCTTGTCCCTTCCCCTTGTCCTTCTCCTCCTCCCATTTTTTATCGCCCCTCCTTCCTCTGGACAACTGGTCATGTTGGAGGGGACGGCAGAACAGGCAACACCGTGCCTGATAAGTGGTAGGTATTACTCTTTTAGCTGAAGGAATTAATTTCGGCTGATGAGCTCTAAAGGATTTTTTCTGAAATCACAAGCAATGCGACCGCAGGCCGACGGTCATAAAGCCGCCGAAAGCATGTCCGCTCGCTCGACCCCTCCCCTTCCGGCGCCACTTGCTGTCTCTACCATGAGTTATCTCTCAGTATGATTCTATCCCCTTCAATACCTGCAATCTTCCTTCATCTCCTCTCCTCTCCTCTCCCTCTTCTGCTGCCTCTCCCAAACTAGGCGCTGTCGTGGAGAGGGCCATTACGGATAGCCTCCACGCTCTCGTATGCAGGGAAAGCTCTGAAGTGTAAGAACGGTGGTTAGTAGTATGTTGACATGGCGATGAGTAGCTGGGGATGGTAGGTTCCTGATGGCAAGCATCACTGGACTTTTCGACCTGCTCAACGCACGTGCACTCATGCTCTCGAAGAAGATTCCTTGAACCCAAAGGCGAGCATGCCCCTTGTGAGGCTAGCATGGCCACACCTACCATGGCTGAGGAAGATGTTATGGGTTACGATGCTCTTGTCGGCATGCGACTGGTTCAGTTGGTCGGGATCCTCGACCCTGACTGGGTTGGAGCCTTCTCCTAAGTTCACGTGCTTGATCCCTCAGCGTCAAGGGACTGCAGAGACGTGTAGACAGAGATATTCGCTCGTCGAGTTTCCTTGGAGGCTCAGCCGTCTTCGAGGAGGACAGAATGCAGACGTAGCCCAAAAGCAAGGAAGGAAGCTGCTGAAAAAATTCCGTCCGAGACATCCGATGAACAAGCTGGCGAAGGAGATGGAGTCGAATCGAAAGTATTTTTCCCAGGAGAAACTAGAGAGACTCAAGGGCAGGACGCCAAGGAGGAGGAGGAAGAGCCCCTGGCAGGCTGGTGGCGCGCCAAAGGGAGGGGTGGGTGGAATACACTTCACCTCCTGCTGTTCACTTGCCTGCAGAGATTGGAAGTCAGAAAGATGACGAAAGAGGGAAATCACGTTCTGAATTGGGGAATTGCGACAAGGTACATCTCCAATCTTATCTGATATCATGTTGACTTCTTATCCTGAACAGCAAGCGAGCGATGAAGTTACGTGCACAAGCTGCCAGGAAGTAATTTGGTTTCAAGATGCAAGCAGTGTTGGGCTGACAAAATTTGACAAGAGCAAAGGAAGCTGAACAGGGAGTGAGAAAACGAGTCAGACTGATAAACAAGATGAAGGAGGAGAATCTTGCGGTACATTTCTCCGTTAATTATTCCTGTTGATAACGTGTAACTTTGGTAGATGAAGCAAAACGGCACATCCGCGGAAGAGATCAAGGAGCATTCAAGGCTTCTTTTGAAAGTAGAGCATGAACTCATCAAGTACAAGGTGGCTGGCTGATTTCTGCTCTTGCTTCACACTCTGACATGCTTCAATAGGATCTCGTCTACGGGACTAATGTGTGGAAGAATATGACTGCGCATACGGTAGGGCCCCTGTGTTCGAAAGAGATTGACATGTTTGGAGATTGACACGTTTTTTGCAGGTTCCGTATTCACTTCGCAACCGAGACTCTTACAACAGGAGGGATGATCTGGAATTCGACAAGTCAGCATGTGATGGTTTTCAATTTTTTTAGCTGACGAGTATGATGCAGGAATTTGTATTTGACTCGCAAGATTGTGTTTGACCCAATCAAGTACTCCCCCCCCCTCCCCTCTCTTTCTGTTCCTGCTCCTGCTTGTCATGCTGCTCCCGCTCCCGCTCCCGCTCCCGCTCCTACTAATCCTGCCCAAAGCTTCTATTATGATGTCACACGCTCGCAACCACTTTCAATCTCTAACATCTGAGATTCAGAGCGTCGAAAGCTCAAGAGCAAGAACTTGCCGACCTCATGACATACTTCGGGCACAAGTGCTCCGCCCCTCAGCTGCAGCGACGGTCCTTTTTTCGCTCTACCTCTCCCTTGCGACCTTGACCATTGCCTCCTCTGCAGACTCCTCCAGCTCGGTGGAGTGAAGTCAGTCGTCTACCTCGGGCTGATCGGTGCTCCTGCTCCTTATGTCTTTATCCCCGATGATTCACTGGGTTGCAGGAGGAGGAAGGCACGTGCTTCGTAAACCCAAAGGGACCAATCCCTTTGGGAACCGAGGGACGATGAAGGGCGCAGGGCCGCGAAAGGTGAGTGGATCCCTGGAAGTCAGGCAGAGGGGCCGTGATCGACTTGTTCGCAGGCAAACAAGAAACTTTCGATGGGAGGGTGCAAGTGAGTTGTGGGCGGAAGCTGAGGGAGTGGGAGGAGGGAGGAAGGGTCAAAGAAGCTAGCAGAAGGTTGTCTCCAGTAGGAAGCTAATCCATCTCCTAGGATGTTGGTCGGAGTTTCACTTTCATGTCCACGGCTCCGATGGAAGATGGTGAAGATGGGGGTAGACAAGCTGAAGCGAATCCAGCAGGAGGGGTAGTGAGCTCATGTGTCAGGTAATGGAACAGCTGGTCCAGCTTGGAAAGTTGTTTCAAGACAATGAGACAGTCGTTGAGACCGTTCTTGAAGCCCTCGAGCATTTCTCTCACTGCAGAAATGAGGAGGTGAACACAAGATGATTGTTAGTGCGTCGGGTGACATGATCTACAGGCAAGCGAAAAAAAGATCGAGGTTTGCTTTGTCTCTGTTGTCTCATGCGTTTGATCCCGCGAAGCTGCTCAAGAACGGAGGCATCAAATTCCTCGTGAAGTCGCTCGAAACCTTTCCTACTAACATCGCCGTCAAGCGCAAGGCTTGCGACGTGAGACTCTCTCGCTCTCTGCTTTCTCCTTGTCCTCATTCCAGCATGCCGCAGTGGGCGGTGGCAATGGTCATCGGCCCCCCGGGGAGATGGAGAGACTTTGCTAGGCAGGCCATTAGGAAGGGTGAGAGCAGAAGGAGCTTGAGAGGCGGCTGAGAAACTCTCACAGCAAAAGTTGCGGGAGCCGTGGAGAACGGATTGTTGAAGTGCACAGAAGATAAGAAGACCAAAACCTGCTTGCAGTCCTTGCTAGAGGTAAGTGGACGACAAAACTGGAGAATGAGTGATGTGATGTGATGTGATGTGATGTGATGTGATGTGATGTGATGTGATGTGATGTGATGTGATGTGATGTGATGTGATGTGATGTGATGTGATGTGAAGGTTCAAGGATGTGTTGGGACATTTTCTGGAAGAAGAGCTGAAATGTTGAGCAGTTACGGTCAAGATTGTATGGAAGAAGAATAGCCAAGAAGAGTTTTTACCGGACTGTGCATCTTCAGGTCATTCAGGGAATGTGCGGAAAGATGATGACTGGATGTCTTGCAGAAAAAGCTCAAAGAGATGGGTGCGAATGCAAGTGTCGTTCTGGATAATATGGAGCGATGGCAGCAGAAAGATGAGAAAAAGAGCAAGAACGGCGACAGAAGACAGAGACAGAAGCAGTTTACTGCGTCCAAGTGAAAGGAGTTGGTCATACTTCTCTTCCACGACTTGTCTCCTTCAACTTCCCTCTATCGCTTCCACCAGTTCCTGGAAGTCGTAGATGTACCAATCAGCCTCCTCTTGTATTCTGAGCAGAAACTTTCAAAAAGTGCAAGCAGAGGAGGACAGAAACCTCTTTCGAACCTCCACTCCTCCGTATCCCACAAAGAGGTCTGCTCCACCCTGCTCATGCATGTGATGAGCGGATACATCAAGGGAGATAACGAGAGGGAGGGAGAGGAGGGAAGGGAACGTGGGGGAGTCATAGGAGAGAGAGGAGTAGGGCAAGTGGGCGGTGGTGTGCGTGGGTGGTGTGTATGGGGTGGGGTTGGGTGGCTGGGTGGGTGGCTGGGGGAGGAGGAAGCAACCTTGCCGTCACCGACGTCTCGAGCTTCCAAGTCTGTCGCGCCATCCCCCACCATCACGATGGTCTTGCTGTTTGTCAACTCCCGGATATGCTCCACTGCTCGTTTCTTCCCTCCTTGAGTGGCAGTCCATGCCTGCTGCCTCTTAGCGTCCTCCTCCTTTCAACCCCTCCTCCTCCCCCCCCCTCGCTCCCCCCTCGCTCCCTCCTTCCCCCCCCCCCCCCCCCCCCCCCCCCCCAACTCCTCCATCCACTCCTCTTCTGTCTCTTAAAAACAAGCACCTGTGGATCGAAACCAGCGTATGCGCCGGCATCGTCGAAGAGGAGCGAGTTACAGTAGACTTGCTCCCTGCTCAGCTGCAGCTGACGAGCGAGCGGGTCTATTAGCTCCCAGAAGCCTCCGCTGAGGATGCAGATGCTCTTGTTCCTGAGCTGCGTCAGAAGAGCTAAGGCAGAGGAGGCAGGGACCTCTGCCTCAACGAATGAAAGAGTGGCTCTACATTAGGAGTGAGTTTGATACTGTCCCCCGCTATTAAGTCGGCTACCTGTCAGAGACACGGCAACATCACAACATTTCACATGACATCACATCATGCATCGACTGGCTCACATCTTGCCGGGAAGGTTTCATGATCTTCAACCTCCGTGAAAGCGCCTCATGAAACGAAAGCTCGCCATTCATAGCGCTCCTTGTCAGCTGCGAAACCTCCTGGTGCACCCTCTTGCACTTCGCTAGCTCTACGATACTCTCCGTGGTGATGAGCGTACTGTCAACGTCAAAGCAGAACACGTCCGCCTGCTTCAACCTTCATCAATTGCTCTCAGAGGTTTTCTTGACCAGACGGGTACACAACGAACCTTTCCTGGACGGATCTGACGCTGCTACTGTATGAAACTCTGCAGGGAGAAGTCATGAGCAAACTTTTCTGTCCACCATCCTCACCTTGTCAGGTTACTTGCCATGATCGTCATGGCAACAAGGGAGGGAAGGCCTCGCGGTCCACCATTCCTCCATGCTGCACCCGTTGGCGTCAAGAAAAGTAGGAGCAACACGAATATGTACTTCGCGTTCGACCTTCCTTTGTCCATCTCCAGCCTAGCCATGCTCCGTTCGATCCATCCAGTGATAAGCGCATCATTCGATTCTGCAACATTCTCTCCTCTGCCTCCTCTTTCCCTCCTCGCTCCCTCCTGCCCTCCTAGCTAGATATCCCACAGAAATTTGTAGCCTGGCAACAGGCCTTGCTAGAAACTTTAAAGTTTGAAAGTTCGGGGGGAGAAACTTTCAAACTTTTGTGGACTGGTTCGCAAAAGCATGCTGACACAGTTAGACACGAACATGAGAGATTTCATATCGGAAGCAAAATTGAATGGCGACAAGACTAATGAAAATAAATATTTTTGGTCTTGATGATGTCATCATTGTCATCAAACACACGTGGGTATGTAAGTGATGACTGTTGCCATCCTCGTGATGATTTTACTACTGTTCCTTGTATTATCTGCAACACTGAACACATGAGGGAAGTCTAATTCCTCGGGACTGATGAAGGTGATATATGGCAACCCCCTTCCTTCATGTTTCCGGAGCCTCTGGGGTACTCCAAATTATCTCATCGTTTCGTCCGGCTCAGATTGTCGTTGTCATCAAGACTTATGCTCACGAAAACATACTTTTTCGGTTTCATTGTGATATGCTGACAGTGCGATGCTTACAAGGAAAAGGAACATGTGAGCTTGCTGACTTATTCTATCGATACATGGCGTATCTGTTTATGGAATAACTAATCTTTGCTATAGCTCATATTTATGAAATATCGAGATGACCTCCTTCACTCACGCCAGGTTTCTAAAATCACGAGTGTCAGGAATTTTGTAGTAAACATCACGGACCCCTCAAAGGAGGCGGATTACCTCCTCATATTCTCCTACGCTCCACACCCTGCAGCAATTTGTTTTCTCCTCCTTCGCCACACACCAAGAGCGAACAGCGTCCGTAGCACAACAAGGCAGCACATCAAGGAGCCCGATAGAGCCACAAAGTCACGGCATAGCAGAAGCATCCGTGACCACATCGTTAGCAGCAGCACCATACCTTCAAACATTGAGCCACATAACTCCCCTGCATATTCCAACCCTCTACCTCCAGCCTCGAAAGCATCGGCCATGGAGATCTTGCCGTTGGACAGCATTAAGCCGAGTAAACCCATCTTTGATGAAGCAAAACCTGGAAACCTCTATAGAATGCGAAGATGGTTGTCGTCGAATCGTCATCTTACCAAGAACGCGTGCGACGCCTGTCGGTCTGCCAAGTTGAAGTGCCAGGACTCGAGGCCCTGCAAGCGATGCATACAGAAGGGGATGGATTGCACAAACCCTCCCTCCAAACGGAGAGCATACACCCCCCCAGATGCGGAGGATAGCGACTTTCTTTCCAACATCTCTAGCGCGGCTCCAGCCATGAGGGCGGTAGGGGTTATCCAACGGTCGGACGACCCCTCCATCACTTCGCCGGTGGAGCTCATGGGTGCAGATAGCAGCGATAGCTACCCCAGGTCCTCCTTTCAGACGTGGTTTGAGGAGGCGCTGGATCACGTGGAAGGGCTGAAGAGGATGAAGAAGACGGGCTGACAAGGTGGAGGCGACGAGCTGAGAAATTGTTCGAGTGAGCGCAAGTGACAGATGAAATTTTGTTTGATCAATGAAGTCTTTTACCACTAGCCCTTCTCTTGCACCACAGGGTGTTCGAGTTAATCTGTACAATGACCGCCTTCATCTTTCCTTCACTGCTAGGTATCTGGTGCAGTCGATCCAAGGTATCGACTGTCGGCTGTGCTCTCGTTACCAGTCTTGGATGACCGTTGCGATCGCATCTTTCGCTTCCTCAGGAGCTCATCAGAACATGAAGGGGTTCGTGTCCTGACCCTGCGGCTGTGCGGTCAGCTCGTGAGCCTGAAACTTCTCGTTACTACCTGCTGGGGTTCCTGGGAGAACGAAGTAAACCCCTGACTGTGGGTAGCTTCCGGAGCAGCTGCTAGCTGGGGAAAGTCCTGGGACAGGAGCTCGAGGAAAGGATCATGATGGGTCTGTTGCTGCCCCCCGCCGATATTCAGCTTGTCGGTGAAAACTTGTGTTGTAGCAGCCAGGGGATCGGAGAATGAGGTAGAAGGGAAGGGAAGGCGAAGGGGTCGGAGGAGGAAGCAGGAGGGAAGGCGAAGGGGTCGGAGGAGGAGGCAGGAGGAGGGGGAAAGGCAAAGGGGTCGGAAGACGCTGGTGGCGGAGGGCCTGCAGGGCGCGACGGGGGCGGGGGCCGTGCAACAGGAGCCTGTAGGAAAGAGATCAGCGAGTGGTCGGCGTGCAGATATCCATGCCTGAGGGAAGGAGGCGAAGGAGGAAACAGTCTGTTCGTTTGGAACAGCGAAGTCGTCGTGGTTGAAGGAGACCCAACTGGAATTTCCTCGCTCGCTGCTCGGGCCCTCTGCAAAGCTGGCAGGCTGAAACAAGTCCAACAGGTCCTGCGTTGACGATGCTGGCTTCCCTTGAGACGCTGGAGGAGGTTGAGGAGGAGGAGGAGGGCGAGGGCGAGGGCGATGGCCAGGAGCCTGCAAGCTGCATGAGCTGGGAGCTCCATAGGAGGAGGAGGAACCGGTACTGAGCTCGTTCCAGTGAACGTGGACAAGTCGATAAGAGACTCTGTGGGGTAGAAGTAAGATCCCAGGAGAAGTAGATTTCCCCCTCCCGCCCTCTCCACCTGTCTTGGAAGTGTTTGTAACAGAGTGCGTCTGCAAAGACGAGGATAAAGCAGGAGGGCCAGTGCTCGGGAGTTCTGGAGTATCATAGTGTCAGGGATGTCAGACTTGCAGGCTGTTGGAGACCTTTGGCTGCTGTCCCGCTAGTTTGAGTGGAGATTGCTCTCTTCAGAAGGAACAATGCCTTGACGGGCCTGAGAGCAAACATTACAAACATTACTTCTCCTTTCCACCCTGCTCAATCACCTCTCTACCTCATCATGACCTACCCCCTCTCTCATTCTAACTCAGCCTTGCCCTTTCTTTTTCTCACTCATTCCTGCTGCTGCTGCTGCTGCTGCTGCTGCTGCTGCTGCTGCCACCTGTGGTCGGATTCAGTCGTCTCTGCTCTCTGGTACTCGATGGGCTCGAGGAAGTCGTGCAGCCAGTTTCGCCACAGGATGCGATCGCAGTAGGCAGGGACGCGCTGCTTCTTGGACGTGTCGTACTCGTTGGAGTTCAAGTCATACTGGACCGTTCTCAGTTTCTCCTCCCACTCCAATCTCTCCCCTCCCACCACTCAACCTCCTTGCCCCCTCCTCCTGCCCCCATTATCTGTTCTCTCCCTCTCTTCTCCCTCCCTTCCCTCCCGACTTGCTTCCCTCCTCTCTCCCTCCCTCAGACCTTGAAGGTCGGGTTGAAGTTAATCTTCATCTCTTCGAAGCCGACAAACACCTGTAGCACATGTGAGCCTGCCCCATTGTCTCCCTCCTCCCTCCTCGTTGACCTTCTTGTCTCGTTTTTGCGCAGTGAGCTGATCTTGACCCATCAGCTTGTCGTGATGGTTGTACCTTCGCCATCATTCAACCTCGTTTCATAGAATGCAAGCATCCTCTTCTTCCTTCTCCTCTCTCTGCTCTCTCTCCCTCTTCATCTCCTGGTTCTCTCTCTTCCTCAGACCCCCTTGCTTTTCCTCTCCTCCAGTCTCTGCAAGTCGTTTTGAGATTCTACTCTTACCTTGCGTAGACAAGCGCAAGTTCTCGCGAAAGATCCAACCTTTCATTAGTAACGTCAACATGTCCGAAGAGGTAGGAAGGGGCAAGCGGTAGAACCAGGAGGAGGGAGAGATCGAGGAAGGAGGAGGGAGAGATCGAGGCAGGAGGAGGGAGGAGAAAGAGGTAGAACGAAGTGAGCTGGGGGAGGGAGAGGAGGAGGATTGAGAGAGGATCTACCGGTAGTTGAGATCGCCGAGCCAGATGACGCAATCATGACCGAAGATGTGAGGAGAGGAGGAGTCGTCGAGCAAGCGGGAGGCCAGTGCATGATACTGCTGATTCCTCTGCTCCACCTGAAGGAGGATGTTGAGATTTCATCCTATAATCCCTTCTCATTTAACCCCCTTCAGCCATCTCCTCTCCTCTCCTCTCCTCTCCTCTCCTCTCCTCTGCTCTCCTCTCCTCTCCTCTAATCCTCCCACTCCTTTTCCTTTTGCTCTCCCTCCATTTGCCTCAATTCACTCTCCTCCCTCTTCCCACATCACTCCTCTCCTC